TGTAGTATAACTAAAAATTCCCCTTAAATTATCTTAGGATGGAATTGAGGTGATACTACAGTGAGTATCCTCGTTGAAATTTGACCGTTTGATTGCACACACTCCCTTGTGTGTGTGTGTATGCGTGCTCGAACAACAAAAAGTCAGGTTAGGGCTTGGCCCTCACAAGTAGGCTAGATATTTTAAGGGTGGACAAAAAAAATCGAATTTTTCCATATCGAATCGGACCGAAATGATTCTGTTCCGAAAAATAAAGTTCTGAAAGGTCTTTTTATCTTTGTCTCGTTCCCGGTACCGAACCATTTTAAACAATATCGATATCGGTTTTGAATATTTTTGTCCCAAACCGTCTTGCTTGTCCGTTTCATTTTTCTAACAAAATATTATATATATATACATATTATACATTATTATAATATTGGTCTAACTTTGTAATATAATATATAAAAAAATAAAAGCTCAATTGTCAAAGCCAAAACTAAACAATGAAGACCAAAGAGGAAAAAAAAGATTAAAAAATACATTTAATAATTTGGTTTTAAACACAATGTTTATGGTAGATATTAGATGTTGGTGAGTGATGACTTAAATTTAATGGATTGGTGTGTTACATATAATGAAAACAATACTCTTTGGTAATTTGGTCTAAGTGAATACTTGAATTAGAGTTTTTTTTTTTAATCAAAATCATGGAATCAATATCTTGGTTGTTTGTTTTAATTTTTAATAGAATCAATACTCTTTGATTTATTTATGTGTTTGTCGCGTTTTGTCCCGGTCCCAAATGATACCGGTCCATTTGGGACGGTGCCTCATCTCGGACCGGTGCATAAAAGTGGGACCGGTATCGGGACAAGTCAAATTCCGGACCGTCTCGGACCGCCCCCACCCCTAGATTTTGGAGGATGATTTTTTTTTCCTTAACCCACAATAGAGTCAATAGGCATGTCTAGTTACACAAATTTTGGTAGCTCTAACTCCACAAGTACTTCGCGGACGAGTTTGCAAAATGGTGAAGTCTGAACAGAATATGAGTTTACAAGCAATAATAAAAAAAGTAATCATGTACAACTTGCATAAGATTTGAGATGAGATTAATGACCAACATTACATGACTTATTATGTCTAAATTGACATTTTATCAAGAGTTCTCTTAATGAGAATCTAGAGAACATGGGAACAAGTTTAAGGTAACGTGAGTCTAACCTCATAACCCCAAATTTCGAGAGGCTTATGAGTAGTGCTGCAAATGAACCGAACGTTCGCGAACGAAAGATCGTTCGTGTTCGTTTAAGGCTCGTTCGAATACCAATCGAGCCGAGCTCGAACAAGTATTTCGGTTCGCTTATTATTTGAACGAACACGAACAAGTTGGCGAACATAAATGATCGTTCACGAACAGAACCATTATTATAATAATATTATATATATATATATATTAATATTAATAAATAATGACTTTGGAATTGGATAGTGGACTCTGGACTGGACACCATCTCGTGAAAAATAAAATATCGACTAAAGCATGTATCTAAGTCATAAAGTTTATCTTTTTTCGCCTCTAGCGATTTAAACCCTAGCCCCATTTCTGCTCGCCTTCCGCTCAGATTTCCGTCCATCTGCCTTCCTCGGCGGCGGTGGTGTCTCGGCCAGGGGTCGTTTTTTACCGCCCGTCCACCCCAGATGTTCATCTTCTCGGATGTTTCTGTGGATTGCACGATATTAGAGTTCCGGTCTTTGATCGCAGATGGAGCCCCGGTCGGTGGTGGCCCCCCTCTCGGTCGACGTTTGGCCTTCGATTGCGGTTCTCCCCTCAGTTGCTGGTGAAGCTCGATCCGGTGGAGGTAAGCCCCTTCATTATTCTCCTTGTCTGCGATTCTTGGGCTCTGCCTCTTTGGCGGCGGGATTTCGC